GATCTCTTGACCTCGTGATCCACCCGCCCCGGCCTCCCAAAGTGCTGGGATTACAGGCTTGAGCCATCGAGCCCGGCTCTTTGCCATATTTTGAAATGGTCCTGCAAAGCTGTCCTTTGTTGGGGGCACATGAGCATCTTGAAACAATCTCTGTTAACAGAACTAGATTTTTTTTCTTCTAAATCTTCTCAATCCTGAAGAGATTAAGTGAGAATCTAGCACCCTTTAATGGTCTGAACAGAAAACGTTTGCCATCCATTATCTCTAAGAGTAGCCAGTTGTACGATGAATGTTGCTAAAAACATATCCAGAATTTTTTTTTCTTTTTCTTTATAGAGACGGGGTTTCACCTTGTTGCTTAGGGTGGTTTCAAACTCCTGACCTCAGGTGATCCACCCACCTTGGCCTCCCAAAGTGCTGGGATTACAGGCATGAGCCACCACGCCTGGCCAAATAATTTCTAAATGTAGTGTTAAATTCACTTTACCTGACTTCTGAAAATAGTTAGAAAATGTACTTTTTATTTTCAAGTTTAATTTTTTTTTTTTTTTTTTGAGACAAAACATAGTTCTGTCACTCATGCTGGGATGCAGTGGTGGGAACACTGGTCACTGCACTCTCATCCTCTGGGATCCAGGGATCCTCCCACCTCACCTCCCAACTAGCTGTGGCCACAGGTCCTCACAACCACACCTGGGTAATTTTTAAACATTTTGTAGAGGTGAGGCCCCACTATGATGCTCAGGCCAGCCTTGAACTCCTGGACTCCGGCAATCTTCCCACCTTGGCTTCCCAGAGTGCTGGGATTTCAGGTGAGTCACCACGTCCATCCCACTGTAATCTATTTGAGGTGTTTTCTTTGTTGTTCTTGCCTCAATGTAAATTTGTTGTTTCTTCTTGTTTCAATTTTAGCAGAAATCGTATTGCTTTGATAGAGTCCCTTTTCAAACTCATCTCTTATCTGAGTGCCTCAAACTAAAGCCAGTTCAGAAATGTTATAACAGATCTGTACCAGTTTATTTTGGTGCAAAAAGTATGAAATTCATGCACAATTTTCTCATATTATGTATTTTTCCATTAACTTCTTGAAGACCCCTTTTACTATCAAATTGTATTCAAGAGGATATAAAAAGAATCATAGATATTCAACTGCCAGTTATTTCTAGGACGCAAAAAAGATTCAACATATTCAAGCAAATCAATATATGCCACTTGAACAGAATGAAAGATGAAAACATTATCTCAATAGATGGAAAAAAGCATTTCACAAAACTCACCATCCAGCCATCATAGAAATCCTAAACAAAACAGAGAAGGAAATTTACCTAAATAATATAAAGGCCCTCCATGAAATGACCACAATGGAAATAACCAATTAAAAAAAAAAAATGGAATGCTCTTTCTGTAGGATCTCACATGATCCAAGAATGCTCTCACTATCAATAAATACTGGCTGTCTTAGCCAGAGCAATTAAATAGCAAAAGAAATAAAACTTGTCCAAATCAGAAAGAAGTAAATAATGTTTGTAGTGACATGGTTTTCTGTGTAGAAAATCAGTCAACCAAAATACCACTATAACTAATAAATACATTCAGTGTATTTGTAGAATACCGTTATCAGTAGCAAAACTTAGCTGAATTTCCATCCATTAACAATAAACAATTTTAAAAGAAAATTAAGAAAACACTTCCATTTGCTAGACGACTTAAAGTAAGATATACTTAGGAATAAATGTAAAAAGATGAGAAGATTGTACTTTGAAATCTACAAATATTGATTACAAACATATATAAAGATACAACCCATATTGATGGATTGGAAAAATATTGTTAAATAATTATATTGCCCAGTGTGATTTACATTCAACACAATGCTCATAAAAAGCCACCATGCCTGGCTTAATCCTCTTAACATAAACACTTTAATGTCAATTAATGCTTGAACTCAATGTTGAGTCAACTCAAACTCAATTTGATACTGAACTGACATTAATGTCAATTAATGCTTGATGGGTTGCTATACTCATTGCATTTGGAACAATTATCTCAAGAATGAATTTTCCAGTGTTCTGCAAGAGTAACCCCAGACTGAAGACTTTGCCACACTTATGACATTTGTAGGATTTCTGTCCAGTATGGATTCTCTGATGTCTAACGAAGTGTGAACGTGAAACAAAGGCTTTGTCACAATTATCACACTGGTGAGGTTTTCCTCCTCTATGAATTCTCCTATGTTTTGCATAAGATGAAGCCTGACTGAAGACCTTGCCACAATCATTACATTTATACGGTTTCTATCCAGTATGAGTTCACTGATGAATGACAAGGAATGAAAGATTGAAAAATTTGCTACACCACTTACACTTGCAAGATCTGTCTTCATTATGGATTTTCCAATGATTTGCAATGGTTGTAGCGTTAATGAAGACTTGGTGACAGTCATTACATTAGAAAAGTTTCCCTATACCGTAGATTGCTTGATGATGAATAAGTGCTGACTGTCCACTAAAGGCTCTGCCACACTCATTACACTCGTAAGGTTTTTCTCCAGTGTGGATTCTAGTATGTCATGCCAGATGTGAAGCACACCCAAAAGCCTTGTCACAAAAGTTACATTTCTATGGTTTCTCTCCAGTATGAATTCTCCTATGTACTTCAAGGTATGATTTGCGAGTGTAAACTTTGTCACATTCTTCACATCTGTAAGGTTTCTCTCCAGTATGACGTCTATGATGACGTGTAAGGTGTGATTTTTGATTAAAAACCTTGCCACATTCATCACATTTGTAAGGTTTCTCTCCCGTGTGAATTTTCTTATGAAATAGAAGGCCTGAGCTTTGATGGAATGTCTTGCCACACTCATTACATTTGTAAGGTTTCTCTCCAGTATGAAGTCTACGATGGCGTTCGATGTATCGCTTCTGATTAAAGACCTTCCCACATATATCACATTCATATCGTTTCTCTCCTAAATGGATTATCTGATGTT